GATGAACTCATAGATTGAACTAATTTGTTGAATTTTATCAAGTAGTTCTTAAAAATACAACCAACGATTAATTAAAACCAACTGCAATTCAAATGGATACTCTTTGTCAAAAAGGAGCAGTAGAACTTATTTTAAACATTCAGCAATAAATAGTTTTCTGAATATATTTTTTAGCGTAACGGCAGTTTCAAACATAATAAAGAGAACAACATTCATTCTAATGAGGATAATTTTGAAAATAATTCACATTAAAATATATCTGAAAGAGATTTTTAAATGAAAAGATGACACAAAATAATTATTTCAAAAAATACATGTTATCTCAGATATAGAAGAAATTTGGCATTGAGCTGAGTATTGAAATTAATATATGCAACTGACGTATCATTACTAATATTTCCATGATTTGATATTGAATGCTATAACTATTAAATATTAGCAAATGCATTTTATAATGAACTTTGCACCAAAATTTATAGTAAATTTATATGTAAATTTACATTGTAAGTACTAAATTTATAGTAAATTTATATGTAAATTTACATTGTAAGTACTAGAATGAATGTTGTACCATTTTATTAATATTTTACTTTTCAACAAGCATAAAGGAAAAAAATAGAATTTTTTTTCTTTAATGTTCCTAGTATGTTACATCATAGTTAAAAATATGTCAAAGTCACGGCATTTCGATTGCCTTTTGTAAATGTTGGTTATAATGTAACTTAATAGATGCTTTATAAGTTGGTAAAGACTGTCCTGGATTAAAACTATCTTTAACACAAAAAATAATATACATTGAATACTTTTACAAATATGTAATTGCTATCCGACTATATAATCTTTTAAGGCGAACTTATCGCATGTATTAATGAAATGATATTCCATTTTTAATGTATGTTAAGTTATTTTGTCGAATTTTTTAAATATATTACATTTATTTTTTCTTTTTCGTTGAGATTAATAATAACATACATAGTGTAATAATGCTCTGAAAAATATTCTAAAGCAGTTCACGCTGGGATTAATGATAACATGTATGGAATAATAATGTTACATCTGTCAACAAAATGAAAAATATGAATATTCTAACGCGATATGTTTTAAAAGATACATAAATATTTAACATGAGAAATTATTAGACTATAGATAGAACATTAATATTAAGCTTATTTGTTTTTAAACTAACATATTAACAAATTTGTTTCTGTTTATAAATATGAGCAGTTTAACTGCAGACACCTGCAGATGTAACGAATAAAAGTTGTTATTTTACTAAATGGAACACAAGCTCTGTGATTTGAACTCTAACAATAATTCAACACAGGTTTATTTAGGAGCATTAGAATTATAAGCTAAACATTAAAAGAATTTAATTATAGATAGTGTAAAGAACATAACAAATACATTACATAAAATTAGTAAAATACACGTCAAACACTATTTCGAACTTACCTCGACCATAGCAAAAATAATGGCTAACATGGCGACTATCGTTGAACTCTCCCGCTAAGACGCTGTTTTTCCACCTTCTTCCTGATTGGTTCTTCTCTCTCAGCCGTTTTAAGCCACGTGATCACACGCTACGGACAAAATCCAAGCAAAACTTCTTGAAAAACTCCTGTAGAGTTTACAGTTTCGTTTGGTTCTGTGTTCGTTACAGGTATTTCCTTCGTAATTGTTCGCATTTCTGTAACTATACAAGACTTTTGTCTGTAAACTTCGAGGTTTTTTTTTACAGTGCGGGTGGTCCTGATTTCCTTTCAAGGTCAGAAAATTAGTAAATTAAAAAAAAGTACAGTTCTTGCCTATTGGGAAGTTAATTTTTGCTTATGAGACCCACTGATACCCTCGAATTTATTGAATATCGCAATTCTCTCGTTGCGAACTTACATTTTGATGAATTCACAGTTAATCCTGCTTCCTTCAATAAGGAAAAAACTTCGTGGAGGTCTTTTACATGTTCCTCAGTGGCATCGCTTGCTATAATGATATCATATAAATAAATTAGAGTGGATTTCCCGAGGACAGGACGTAGAATAATGTCCATGGTGCGTTGGAAAGTTGAGGGGGGCCCCACAAAGTGCTAACGGCATACGTAAAACACATAAGTGCCTGACTTTGTAATAAAAGCCGTTTTTTTTATGTCTTCTGGTTTCATGTCTATTTGAAAGCAGCCTGATGTAAAAACGAGAGTGGTCATAAATTTTGTACACCTAATTTGTCTTATTACCTCCTCAATTACCGGTAAAGGGTAAACCGAAAATTTGGTCAAACTATTCAGTTTCCTATAATCAATAGCAAAACGCCAAGATTTTGGATCCGAGTGGGGTACATTATTCCTTTTTCTACAGAGCACAATAGGGCTGGCCTATTCACTATTTATGGGAGTTATAATTTTATTCTTTAACATCTCCTGTATATGGTATTCAATTATTGCCCCCTTCTCCTTATGGTATCTATAGAGTTTCGCTTTGCAAGATTCACTCGATTTTAATTCAATAGAATAAGTTACTATCTGTGTATTCACTCTGTGTTACTATCTGTATACCTTTCAGAAAATAATGAAGAAAATTTACTTACAAGTTCTTCCAGCTTGACTCTTTCATCTTGCTTTAGATGCTGGAGGTCAAGTTATAGAATTTTTACAGCTTCCATTACCCTTGGCTCCATATCCAACATGACTGAATTACTTGAAAAATCGATTTTTGCATTCGCGGCCCTAAGGAATTGAGTTTCCAGGATGACTTTATTTTGTAAATTTTTCATCACGAAAAATAAGCCTTTTAAATTTTCTTCTTTACCTGCACATTAAGCGACGGTTTCCCGACGCATTCACAATCTTTTCCTTGGGCAGCTATGATTCCCGTGGTATTATTTTTAAATAACCTTACTTTTCTAAACTTTTTCTATAATAAAAATTTAGATTTATAAAATTTCCTTCAGCTCCGGTATCCACGGGCACATTGTTCAAAAGAACCTGTATTACATATAGTTGGGAATTTTTCACGACCACGGTGTTTACATATATTTTAGAGGGATTTTGCGATGCCATGTGGGTCTGGATTCTCAACTTCTCAGGTCCCTCTATTGGTTTAAAGCCGTCTTTCCTTCTGATGTTTTCTCGGTACGCTGGCGGATTTTGGCTTTATCATTTTCATTCTTACTCGTTGACGGCTTGCGTACAAAACGTATTGTATTTATTACTTTCCGCGGCCGGCTGTCGGGATGATATCGCTGGGTAGGAAATCTTGAATTTTCTGCTATCCCCCAATTCTGGAACTTTACGGCTAATTCGAATAATTCTTCCAGCGTTCATGGATTTCGAAGCTCCACGAAATCCTGAACCGCAGGTAATAATCTTGGCAATTCAATTTCGATGACTCCGAGTCGGGCTTTCTACCGTATAGCATATTCAGTAGCTTCACCTTTAAGCAGGATAAACTTGGTAAGGTCCTCAACCCTCTGTTGGTAAAAGCTGTACAGTTCAGCTTCAAGTATGGCACGATATTTTACTATCGGGAACGCTTTTAGGAGTGCCACTTTGAAATTCTCAAATGTGTAGGTTATGCTTCCGACTTCTCTAAGTAAGAACTTTCCAATTCCTTTCCACCAAGACTCCGCCTGCCCTCGGAGGGCACTCGAAGCAATTGCCACCTTCTGCCTTTCAGGTAACGGATAACAACTGGAAGTGAGTATAAAGGCTTCCAAAAATGAAGTGACGGAGTTCTTGCCGTCGAATACCACCGCTGGTTTAATTGCCGCCCTCATCGTCTGTATCAGGAAGCCAAATCCATCCAAGGGGCTCGGCACCATTGGGTCTGCCACTTCTTGTGGGGATGCTCGTTCGCCCTGTTCGTTGGCCATCGGATTCTCGTAGTAAGTCAAGTGTCAATGTAGAGTCCAATAAGGATAACTCCTCTGGGAGAACTGTAAGCGTAGTAACTTCACAGAAGAAGGGTTAAAAGTTCCCTTTATTAACTCTTTAAAATTTACAATACGTCAACTCGATGTTAACAAACTACGCCTCTGCTTGGGCGCTAAATGAAACAAAAAAGAATTAACTAAAGATTTAATATATGTGCAAGTCGTCGAACTAAACTACCGGGCTTAGAATAATTCCTGTATATTAAACCGCCGTCGAAAATTAGTGGCAGCAGGTAAATGCAATTAAGCCACGCAAAATAGCAATAACTCTGGGAGCAGAAGCTTAAAGCGAGAATTATTCAAACCAAAAAATAAAAATAAAATTTCTATATTTTAAAATCAATAATTTAAAAGAGAAAAATGGAACGAACTACAATAACACTGTCATATTTAAATCACTTTGATTGATGATGCTACAAACTTCCTTTGGATTCAAAAATATGTACTTGAGAGACTATGAATGTTTTTTTTTCTAACAAACTTATATCTATCATTGCTGCTATTGCAAAGTAGCAGAATACAAATATTATTGAAGAGCACACTGGCATAGTCGGCCTATTGGCAAAATATGTTGTTTAATCACTGCTTCATAAATAATAATTTATTTCTAGTCTAATGTTAAATTAAAGATGCCGCATAGTTGGCAAAAATTCATTGATTTCCGTTTCTACTGTTTGATGTTATTCTTTCTTTCACGATGAAAAAAAGAAACTATCATTAAGCTAAATATGTGTTTAGTTATGTATGGACTTATATAGCCCTTTAATAGATCATAGATGCTTTTAAATTGAAATTTTCTCTTAGTTTTTCTTTTAGAAAATTTGCCTAAGGAGAGCATTCTTTTATTATATAGGCAATGCATGAAATAAGAATTTTTGAACATTCAGTTTTAGAAGTTAATAAGGCTGTTGTTTATTTACTAAAAGCTTATCGAGAGAATGAATCTTCATTATGATAATTACTTATTACATCAAGAAATCGCATATTAACGGTAGAGTTTTAAAAGTTGACAGAAAAAGGCTTTGAAGAAAGATAACAATTTTCCTAACTAATTTTATGTTAGCCTTCTTGACGAAGGTCTGCCCTTGTAGATAACAGAGTGCAGAAACTTCATCCGGTTACCCATTTCCTCTTTTTCTGCAATATCGAATATTCGGAAGCATTCAGTTTCCTGCAGTTAGAGCTATGATTCACGTTTTGGTTTTACTCGGATTACTTGGTGCTGGTAAGTGTTTAGCTACTTATTTTTATATATAGCCAGTTTTTTGAAACAGTTTATGTATTAGAAGCATGCTAATACATGATACAATGCTTGTATGAAGAGAATTTATTTAACTTATTTATTTATCGTCTGTTTGAATGAAATACTCATACCGTCCAGAATTTTTATTCAAAAGTCAGTGAAATAATAGCTCACATTTGTTTTCGGACACTTATCTTTTGAAATTTACTTGCATAGATCTTGTACTAAATACTGAAATTTTTTTCTTAACATATTACGTTTTCTCTGTTTTAAGACTTACTTGTTACAAAATACATATCATCAAAATGGTATTTGCAATAAAATAATTTATTCCAAACAAGTTAATGAGTAACTCACGTAATAATTCGGACACTCGAAAGTTTTGTTGAGATATTTTGGAAGACGATGTTCTTTTTCCTTTGTAAAATAAAACTGTAAAACAGGAATTATCGTCTGAATTTGAAATTTTTTTTACATGGTTAGCAAAATGTATTAATAGTTCCATATCTGAAGTATGTAACATATAAAGACGCTATAAATTAAAGGTAAGTTCCTTTCGAAATTAACTCTTCATGATATCAAAGGTGATAAAAGTATTCAAAATGTTCAAATCATCTTTGATTCAAAGCGTTCAACTATTTTTGATGCAGTAACACTATGGAAATTGAGTGGAACTGTTCAAAATGCACTGAAGTCTGTACCACATTCCAAGCTAACACGAAGGAATCGGAGATTTATTGTATAAGAAATAAACAAAACTAAAAACAATTAGTACTGTAAACTTGCAGCGGATTTAGAAAAATTGCTTGCAATAAAAATTAACCCTGAAACTGTTAGAAGAGCCATAAGAGCACATAGATAAGATGGGCGATCAGCAAGAAGAGAATTCTTCCTTAACAAGGAAACAGTGTAAATACGCCTGAAGTTCTCTAAATCCATCGTAAACAAAAATTTACAACATTGAAATAATGTTATATTTGCAGACAAGTCAAAATTTACCATGTTTAAGTCCAAGGAAGAATTGCTAAGAGGCGATAGCCAAATGAAGAATTGAATGCAAAAAACCTTTTCCCTACTGTTAGCATGAAACTGGAAACAGAATGGTCTGGGTATGTTTCGCTACCTCTGAGATGGGAAATTTACTTTTTATAGAAAATAATATGGATCGGTATAAATTTCTAAATGTTCTTAATGAAAACCTAAAAGCGTCTGCCAAAAAACTTAAATAAAATGTTCACTGAAGTTCTATCAGGAAAATGATTCTAAAGATACAATTCTAAATGTTTGCTTGTGGTTATTATACAACTGTCTTGAAGTTATCAACATTCCTCCATGTTCTTGAGACTTAAATCCTATCGAACATGTATGATATGAGTTGGGGAAAACAGTAAGTAAACATGACATTTCTTTGAAAGCTCTATTTGCAGTTCTTACGAAGGAATGGAACAAAATGGAACTTTGTTAATTAAAAAAATTTGTAAATTCCATATCAAAGCACATGGAAAATGTAATTTTATATCTAACGAAATGTTAGATTATTTTTATGTTTTTATTAAATATAAATTACTTGTTCAAAAGTGTCCGGATACTTATGTGAGTTCATTTTCAGAACTTTTTGGATAAACTGATTTTGTTTTCTTTTAAACCAAAAGCATTTCGAATAACTTTCTTTACAGTAGGAAGGTTTTATAAAAGATTATCAATGGTACACTTGTGGGGGGGGAAGGGAGTCACTTCGCTAATATCTGTAAGTGATTTTTGCAAATAATTTTGAAAAACACAAGCTTCCAGAAACAAATGCATGCATAGTGATTCTATTCCGGTTACTGGCTTGAGGAAAACGCTACATTAAAAAAAAGGGGGGGGGTCTAGTTTCTTGTAGTAACTTCATTACTTAGTATACCTTCGTTGTTCATATTAAAGTTAAAATGACTTAGGGTTTTTCTTCATACAGGAAACGATTATTCGGGATAACAGAAATAGACAAGAAATAGACAATAATGAAAACAATTAGGTAGTAAGAAGTCGTTTATTATTTTTTGTCAACTGAAAAAAGTTAAGATTTTTCTTTAAAAGCTCCAAAATTTTTTGTAACGTTTAAGGTATAAGAGAGAGAGAAAACTGTTAAAAATTATTTGATAGGCTAAGTTACACAAAATATTAAACACAAATTTTAATGAATGTTTTATATAACTATATGTAGTTCGATGAAGATTTTGCAAACTATATCATATACTGGCTCATATTTGTTTTCGGACACTTGTATTTTTGAAATTTATTTTTATAGATCTCGTACTAAATTTTAAACGTAGGATTAAAAATGTTTTCTAATATATTATTCTGTCTCTATTTTAAACATTGCTTGTTACGAAATAAATATCATACACATATTCCTTGCAATAAAATAATTTATTCAAAAAGTGTTAATCAGAAGCTCACCCAATAATTCGGACATTCGAAAGTTTTGCCCAGGTGTTTTGGTGGGCGATGTTTTCTTGTCAAAAAGTTTCGTTTTAAATGAAAATACATCGCAAGAATTAACGTTTGAATTGGAATTTGGAATTTATTACTTATTTAGCTAAATATAGTAACTATGCCATACCTGAAAAGAACATGGAAAGATGCTGTAAGTTAACGCTAAGTTTTCTTAAAAATTTAATTATTCATCATTTTAATGACCGGTAAAATATTCTAAATATAAAAAAACTCTGATGTAAAGTGTTCAAGCACCTTTGATATTATAAAACAATGGAAATTACGAGGAAATGTTGAAAGTGCACTGAAGTTTGAACCACATTACAGGCTAACACCAAGAAATCGAAGGTTTATTCTAGAAAAAATAAAATAAGAGCAAAAACTAGTGCTGTGAAACTAACAGTGGACTTAGAGCAATGGTTTGCTATAAAATTTAACCCTAAAACTATTAAAAATGTCATTAGAGCACATGAATACAATGGGCAATTAGCAGTAAGAAAGTCTTCGTCGACAAGAAAACGAGGTTAGTAAGACTGAATTTCGCAAAATCTATGGTAAGCAAACATTAATCATACTTGAATAATATTATATTTGCAGACGAGTCAAAATTTAATATATTTGTGACCGATGGACGAAATTTTGTGTTATTAACGGTTTGTGGTGTTCCTCTGCCTCTGGGATGAGAAATTTAGTTTTTATAAAAAATAATGGGGATTAGTATAAACATAGAAATATTTTTAATGAAAACATAAAAGCATCTGCAAGGAAACTTGGAATGCAAAATACATTCAAGTTCTACCTGAAAAGCAATTCTAAACACACATGCCTAAATGTTTGTTCGTGGTTATTATACGGCTCTTCTGAAGTTATCAAAACTCCCTTATATTCTTCGGACTTAAATCCTGTCGACCATAAATGGATCGAATTAGTGAAAAAAACAAGTAATATAAAAAAATGAAAGTCAATTCCTACTTATGAGAATTTTCGCTACATAATGGGACATTACATCCGATTCATCCAACTCTGTAAAACCACAATTCTTTAATTCCATACACTTTAAAAATGCATACACTTTAGAACTCTGTCTTACTGCTGCCTTTTATTTTTGTTAAATATTACAATCCCGTTTATCACAGTCATGTACTATTATTATAAGTTGTTATAAAATTAATTTTTACATTACGGGAGAATTCGTAATAAACGGTCATTATTTGGAAGTCACAGGCCTAAATGTTTGCTCATGGTTATTATACGGCTGTTCTGAAGTTATACGAGTGAAATATGGGAAATTTTATATATATGAAATTTTAAATTTTAATTATCTTTAATACGTGAAAAACTGTATTAGCATCAAGTGTCATCCACTACAAGTTAAAAAAATACATTTGAACTTAAGTGGATGAATAAAAGGTATTTTATTAACGATTGAAAATTTGAACAATATATAGGGAGAGTCTGAGTTAATAGTAGGAATTTGATGAGAAAGACAAAAGAGAAAAGTCGAAATTTCTGCTAAGAATTTACAGAAGAATGGAACAAGATAGAATATTCTCATTTAAAAAAAAAAAAAAAAAAAAGAGAGAGAGAGAGAGAGAGTGCGGAGAGAGTTGACTCCGAGCCAAAACGCATGAAAAGTGTAATGTTTTAGCTGAAGGATATTCAATGAAATATCGAATAACCCGTTATTTTCATATTTTAGCTGAAGGATATTCAATGAAATATCGAACAACCCGTTATTTTCATGCTTTTACTAAATATAAACTGTTTTTTCAAAGTGTACGAATACTTATGTGAGTTAATTTTCAGAACGTTTTGAATAAATCACATTTTTTGCCAAAAATACTTTGAATAACTCTTTTTTTTTTTTCAAGAAGCAGAATTTAAGAAAGATTATCAAAAGTATATGTGAAAGAAAAATCGATCATTTTTGCTAAAATTTAGCAACTGATATTTGCAAATGAAACTATGAAAGACAAGTGTCCTAAAATAAATGTGAATCACTGTTTGTGACAGATTAAAAAGAATCAAAGAGCTTTAAGTATGTTATGTAATATTTTAAGGTTATGTTTCGTATAGTTACTTTATATGTTTTCAGTTTTTGGAAGTGCATTGGTTATCAGAATGTATTACAGAAATGTTTCTATGTTTTTAATGGGTCTTCAGATTTGTACTTGGCAAATTTTAAGGGGGGAATATAGGAGGACATTCTTATTCTTTTAACTATTAGTAGAACTGTGATGAGTAATTCAAAACATCCTTGCTTTCGAACTGATTTAAATCTATGTTTATTCTAAGGATTATATTTTTAATTTCATTCTGTATCCCTGATCAAAACATCATTGCTATTCACATTTATTTTATATCTGTTAGATTCTATTTTAAGCTATTGTATCTTCTATTCCACTTAAAATTACGAAATACATAATAGGAAGGAATGCTTTTTGCTTATTTTTCTATGCAGATGATGTTTCATACATAAACATGACAAAATCGGCGTAGACACAACCATTTCTTTAAAACAGATATCAGCCACCTTCTGTCACAACTATTAACATAATACGAAAAGCTACGAAATGAAAATTCTTTTTGAGTGCGATTCTTTTGGCATATAGACTTATAGTTAAGTTTTAAAATAAGTACTGACAGCAAAATATACTACATTTTTTTTCCGCTGGAAAACGTTGAGAGCTCATGCAATTCAGACCTATAAAAATACTTTAATATAATTTAAATTTGAATATAAATTTGAGTATTTTGAATTTAAATATAAATTTGAATTTAAATATAAATTTGAGTATTTTGAATGAAAAATAAAAATTTTGTTACTTACTTCTTGTCATATGCACAAGCAGAAAAAATAAACAAATATATCGAAATTCATACAAAAACTTAAGATTATACTTTGGGTGCATGCAAAAATGAAAATCAGATGACGCATTAAATGAAAAAAATAAGACTAAGGACGATATTAAACTACATAACTATCATTAACAATTAGGAAAACGTTAATGAAGAACTCGATGAGAAATTTCAATTAACATGAAATTGGAAAGTTTATTTAAAATACTCAGGAGCAATGGGCCCCATTGCTTACATAACCTCACTCTGTTTACATTTTGCCATACATTGTATTACAGAAGTTACAGCAATAGGTGAATTTAAAAAAAGAGATGTTATTAAAATTCTGTATAAGGATTGGTACTAAAGTGTGTAAAATAGATCTGAGGATGTTTGTATATTTTTAGAATGATTTGAGGGCCAACTAATTAATATTTAAATCTAAAGAATATTTTCTTAAATATTCGACCTGATAAACTTTTTTTCTGAACTTTAAGTCTGCCGAATTGCTTGCTTTTGCGTTGAAACTGTAATTTTAATTGAAAAATTGTTTTTTAATTGCTTTAACTGTACTTGGGGTTTTATGTTTTTCTATACCTTTCAATTTTTAATGAAATTATTTTGAGTTTTTATGCATTTTTTCCTTTCCACGAAGTGATAACTGAATTAATTGAATGAGAAAGATACATCTCTAACGAAATCTATCTATGTATCTCTAACGAAATTTGAGGAAATAAGTGTTTCGTATTAGCAGCAAATATTGTCGCCAGTCTGTTTCGGACAGAGGAGAATGTTTACGAGTAACGCATGCGCATTAGATAAGCGGAGCTGAATCGTCTGTGAAAAGTTTTCTTTTTTTAATTGTTTAATTTCTTTTATACATCGTTTTAGTTTTATTACAGTATTTGAATAGAACATGTGACAACGATTAGATGATTCTTCAGATGATATAATATTTGTGCATTCTGAGTTACAAAATGAATGAGATGTAACGCTGTTAAGTGAACCTAACGCCAGAGTGTCGCTACGGTAAATAAATATAGTGAATTTTAAAGAGTGCATTTATCCTATTGTGGTTTATGCGCTATTGACGAAATAGAGTTAATTAAATTCATAAGTTTAAATGAAATGTGGGGAAAATGTGTATAATTTAATATTCCATACAAGGAAGTCATGTGGTGTACACATCAGATTTTTATTAATTTATATTTAGACTAACACTGGTATTTTATTATTTTTAGTTTTGTGTGACGAATGCGATCCGGGTTTCGCAGACACATGCTTCACATCAGTCACTGAAGATCTAAGATATATGTTAGATTTGAAGAAAATGACGACTGTCAATATCACCAAAGCAGCAGTGCATGAGTTATGCTTGTGAGTACAAAATTTGCTTTCATGTATGTATGCGCGAATACTTGCCTCTGACCATAAATAAAATAAAGAAAGCCTACAGAAGGTGGCAATGTTATTGATTGTATAAATCATTCTTTTTCTTCAATTTCTGTCCATGTTATTAGCTTATCTATGTTCATTTACCAGATTCATTTGTTTGGTAAGTAATATCAATTACTAGCTGTTCCCTTATTCTAGGTCAGTTCTCTTTTCAAGTTCTTTTCATTGTTAGGAGGTGGAATAACGAAATATTAATGCAACAAATCTAACTGAAGTAATTCTTATTATACAAACTAATAAATAAAGTAGTTACTTTTCATTTATAATTCAAATTCATTTTAATTGAACATTAAATGCACAATGAGTTTGAACATTTAAATTTCATGTTAGTATAACTTTACACAATCGAAAAGTATGTAGGCAGACTTTGTGCCAAACTTTTAATATTTATTTCTATACAGGTACAATTAATGGAGTACAAATAAGACAGCACTAACCCATTAATTTGTTGTTCGCATAATCCGCAGATGTTAATATGTCTTTTCCAAACACAGGAAAAGGAATGTTTACTTTTCTGAAATCAGATTTACTGTTATTCCTAGTCTTTTTAATAATTACCACAATATATACAAAGGCTGTTTACATATTTTGCAAAATTATTTTAATGGAAACAGTCTAAAGCGTTCTAAAATACTCATGAAAAAAAATTCGTCATTTTAAAACAGAATTATCTGTTTTAAATTAATGTTTAATGCACTTTTAAATATCGAACGCTTTGAAAGTGGCGCAAGTAAGGGAGTTTTACGTCCTAAATTGTGCGTTTTTTCTTTCCAAAAATAAAAATCTTTATTATATAACTCAAGAACAAAAATTGAGAAAAGTTTTAATAAATCATTACCGTTGTTCTGCGTTGTAATTAAATGTTTCAATGTGCAGTGCCAATATACAGAATCATACTAGTATCCCTCATATTTCAGTTCATTCCAGTTACAGTATGAGTAACTACTGCGCAGGTACGTCTCAGTTTAATAAAATCGAGCCAACTGCTTATAAATATGAAAGTATTAAACTAATTATGACAGAAAGTACTTTTTATAATTCCAAAAAGCACATCTTTATGTTTTTCTTCAAAAAAATTTCAGACTAATTTTGCACTGTCTGCTGAATAAAGTGAGCTAAATATTGATATATTGATTCTTTACGTTAAGGAGTAATCAATTAAGTTTTGATGAAGAATATCAGTTACAATTAAGGTACTGGTTCAAAGATTTCTCGAGATAACAATAAAATAAATAATTTTAATAGCTATATCCCTCGTAAGGCGTATTTTCCATAAATATACAAATGCTACAAGCTATAAAAGCAAAAAAGAAATATTGAATGCATATCAAATAGAATTATGACAAATCACAAAAGGAAAGATGGGTAATATTTACACTTTTTTCTGTAAGAAGAACTCAAAATTAAACGAAGCACCAATATAAGATTTCTGTCCGGAATTATATATATTCACAATAAAGTTGTAAGATTCTAACCTGTGTACTTTTAAGTTACAGTTAAAGTTGAAGAATCTTAAGAATTGTTAAGCGAATAATCGCTTGAGTTCGTGAGACAGGAAATAAAATTTGGGAAGAGTTAAATACCCTTTATTATTCCAAATTAATTTGCAATGCATCAGTTGCAAGCCGTTGGGCTGTAGTTAATTGTTGTCCTTCATTTTCTCGTAGTTGGCAGTTGTTTACAACAACTGTGATTTCTTCCAGTACTTGGGATTGATGAGGTTTCACGAAGCTATATTTTCTTCGAGGTTCATCAGAAAAGTTCCACTTATTTTCAGCAAGATTCAAAACAATTTTAGCTTTTTGAAGAAAGTCAATTCCTAACAGAGTCGAGTTATTTTTGGCATCAGGCAACACAAGGAGCGGAGTTTTGAACTCTGCCTTCGAGAAGGATAATTTGTTCGGTGCGAAGTACCTCTTTTTCAGATACCAAACCATCAGCGAAAGACAGCTGTAGTGTTGTCTTTTCAAATACTGCATCTTGTTTCTGCAGAATATGATAGAGGGATTCACTTGCGATTGAGTGACTAGAACCACTGTCGGCGAAAGCTGTACCGGAAACATCACCGATACTAATTCGAAATACAGCATTCCGAGTGGAAGATAAACAGGATCGGATTTGGATAGTGCCAAAATTTGATGAATTTGAAGTCTTTGGGGGGTTACAGTCTGGACATTTAGACTTGATAAAACCAGTTTTGCCGCCCCCATAGCATGTGAAAGGAGGTCGCTTTTCCTCTGTTTGTTGCTGACTACGATTTAAAAAGGTTTTATGAGTACCCTGTACGTCACTTGTTCGATTTCCTACTTTGTGTTTGGATGGATTAGTCGGTTTGTAAGAATAGTTCCGCCTGCCAGGAAGTTGAGTTTTATAGTTCGTATTTTTAACACGTACAGCTTCATAATCATCCAATTTCTGTACTAATTCAGATGAACTCTATATTTCCCCCCCAAGTATCAATAAAATGGTTCTTAACGTCACTACTGACTCTTCTTTTAAGCTGATCCGACAGGACCAAGTCTTTGAGTGATTCAAAGTCTGTAACATCGAGACTATGAAGCCACTCTTCGAGATAATTATTTAATTCGTAAGCAAAATCTTTCCATAAGGACCCAGGGTGTTTTTGGTGTGTGGTAAGTTTAATTCGAAATGATTCAGCCTTTAATTTGAATCTTTGTAGCAGAATCTTCTTGATGTAAGAATAATCGGTACTTTTCCGTTTCGGCGGCGCAAATCTTGCCAAGCAGACTTTATTGGCGACAACATACAGTATACACATAAAAAATATTAAAAAAGTTTTAGTTCTAAGAATTCTTTTTTGAAGGCATAAACATTTTAATATCGCTTAAAACTTTATAAAAAGCCAATAAATAAAGACAATAAATTTGTAAAAAGACATTAATTTAAGAATTTACTATGCTTTCATGGTTCAACATCCTAATTCTCCGGTTCATATCACATGACCCCAAGCGATCTCATCTCACGTAAACTACTCTACAAAAATCTAATGCTCTCAGTAACTATCTACATTAATTTCAAGTTAAATCTTAATTTGGAACACAAGTTTAAATGCAAGAAATATTTCAATGTGTACGAATAGCTTACTCAGAAATTATGTAAAACTGCAGTGCCTTACTTCCCTAATGCATTTTCATTAGAATGGATGAATTTAACCCTTGACTTTCCTTTTCTATATTTTCGGCTTCGGGTAAGAGCTGTGATTGCATCCTAATTGACTTAATTACCGAAAATGGCCTTAGACATAAAACTGATATATCTGATAAAAATTATATGTAATTATATGCCAGTATTGAAAGAAACAGTAAATTTGATAAGAAAAAGCTGCGACTTGTTTTGAAAATGAGGCGTAAAAGATTAGCAGTGAGAATATTCCGCTTGGCATCGGTTATACCATTATTGGCGACTTTATCACTTGCGCCGGCAAAACGGAAAAGTACCGAATAATCTTCTAATTTGTCTTTTGGTTCTCTTTAAATAATTTGCGAAATGTCTATGGGCAGAAGAGATTGGAGATGAGTGATGTAATCTATGTGTTTTATATTAACTTTCTCACATTGTCTTGTCTTTCAAAAATTTGCAGGTAGGTTGCAATGTCTGAAGTTCCTGTAAATTTAGGGATTAGGTGTTGAATATTTGTTTCAATAGCTGCATTTGAAGCAAAGGCGGCATAGTTAGGATTTGAGCTAGCAGCTGCCAGGTTTAATTTTAAACGTTCCAATTCTAATAAAAGTTCTTGTTCTTTTCTTTGACGTGTCTCTAGATCGTTGCTTTCACGTTGTTTTTGTTGTCTAGTTTCGATTAAAGTTTCCAGAAGATTCCTGGTAGAAGCCTCATCATAAGTGTCAGAATTGACGATAAGATTTTTGAGATCTATTACTCGCATAGTGTCGTTTACAGTGAAACCCAGTTCTGTAGCGAGAGTTTTTAAATCCCCTTTTCGTGCTTTGGCAAGGTAAGTCATAATTATATGAGAGGTCAGGGGGGAGGGAAAAGATGAAGTTGAATTTGTTGTTATTTCGATTTTATTCTCAATACAGTATTTTAGAATTAATAATTATACCTATAAGTAAAATGTTTATACCCCTATTAAACAGCATGTATAAAATGTAAACAATGTTACTCGTACATTTATATACCACTATTAAACAACATTTATAAATGTAAACAATAATACTCTCAAAGTTTGTTATTTCTGAGTCGTAAAAATATCATAAAATGCCTTCATAAATTCAACTTGTATCAAGAAAATAACATATAATAAATTGCTCAAAAAGTTTTTACTACTTAGTAAAACATACAAAAACATACATAAATGTCTTACCATAAGCTTTTATATATAAGCTGAATTCTTCGAAATCTTAATCTTAACAAAATACTAAGCTAGTTAAGCAACACACACTTAGTAAATCTTTTACTTTAATTAAATAGTCATTCGATTTTATTCATAATTATTTTCTTTTGCTTCAAGAAATATTTTTCAAGAGATGCATTCATTAAAGGAAATCAATGGTATTTTCTTATACCATTGATTATTATAGTATTATACTATAATCATTTTCTCAAAATGTTCGTTGAAAGATAAATCAACAAGTACAATATTTTATTTTATGTAGAATAAAACATTTAATGAGGAACAACAGCACTCAAAGGAAATAAAAATAATAAAAGATTTGACGTAAACACATCATAAATCATCACTAGTTTAAACATTCCGCGGGGGGAAAACATCTGCTGCTGTAAATCAGAAGAGAAAAAAAGGATTTATTAACAGAGCACACAGGAACGGTTACAAACAAAAGAAATATACATAAAAATGAAACATATACCAAATGGAACATCAAACATTTGAATAACATAGTAAACTATCAACATGGCGGCTTGAGATCGACTGACGTTTTTTC